GAAGGGTAGCTTAGAGGTCACTTTTTCTCTAGAGTCTCATACAAACTTGGCACTGGGAATATTTGTTGCTGACAAGAGTGTTTTCTATTCTCATATATACAAATCATGGTAATTTCCTTATAACTAAATATAATTGGCTATTGGGGAATTATGGCCAAAGTTTTTATAAAATTGTTTTCTACTATTGGCTCACCATTTATAATTTTGATGGATAAATATTATTAGAACTAATAAAGTGTTTGAAAACCGATCTTCGTGTGATAACTTCTATTTAAATGTCTGCCGCAAATCCTCATGAAGGCATAGGTGGGGCTTTTTAGAAGTGGCAGGACCTAGGGTGTGTGAATGTGGATTAAGGGTGAGTGGTGCTAAATTAGTCCACTGACTGGAGTTAGCTTACTTCTGGGGTTGGCTGAATGGACTTCCTGATACCAGAAGCTCCACCCTGGGGTGGGTGGCAGCACCCACAAGGCTGGGGCTATAGCTCAGAGGCGCAGTGCCTGGCAGGGAAACTCAAGGTTGTGAGTTGACTCCCAGTACTTAAGAAAAAAAAGGAGGATTTTAATAATAATAATAATAATAATAATAATAATAATAAGTGTAACCTTCATGGAATAAAAGGAAAATAGAGATTTGCTGCTGCTGCTTGCTGATGAACTGTTTCTCCCCTGTCATGCTGCCCTGCTTTGGAGCCAATCAGCTATGGACGGAAACCTCTAGAAACTGTGAGCGGTAATAAGCCTCCCCGCTTTTAACTTTAGGTGGCTGGTATTTTGTCTCACAGTGAGCAAAGTAACTAAAATACTTGGTGTGTTTATCTGAACTGTTATTGTAGAAACATGTAAGATTATGATCCACATGGCATTTGAGAAAAAAGCAATCTGCATCAAAGGTAAGGAATACAACAGTAAGGAAATCTGGGTGACCTTTAAAGGTATCTCACGTTTCAAAGAGACTGCAAACATGCATGCAAGGCCAACATGAAGTATTTCACCTTTAACACTATGTAGTGATTGTGTTTTGTGCAGAAAGAAGATGAAGCATTCTGATCTAGCCACTTACACATCAGTTAACTTGGCACTGAAGAAAATGCCAGAAAATTTGAGTATTCCTGAAATTCAACTGGTTGAAACTTTTCCTTCCCCCCAAATACCCAACCAAGCTAGGCATGGTGGTATGTGTCTGGAATCCCAGGCTGAGGCAAGAGGATGACAAATTTAAATCCAGCCTGGGAAATTTAGCAAGACCCTGTCTCAAACATAAAATAAATAAATAAATAAATAAATAAATAAATAAATAGGGCTGGTGATATAACTCAGTATGAAAGCCCTGGGTTTAGTCCCCAGTACAGTAAAATCCAAACCACCCCCCCAGCCCACCTCAGCTCTCTCCAGCATTCAACGATAGATATTTATAGCCATAAACTTTTCTAGAAGACAAAAGCCAATCTCCTAGATGAACATAGAGTACAAATCCTAAACAAAATATTAACAGCCTGATTTTTTTTTTTTTTTTTGAGACAGAGTCTTGCCATGTAGTTCTGGATAGCTCTGAATTTACCATGTAGCCCAGGCTGGCCTCAAACTTGAGGTGATCCTCCTGCCTCAGCCTCCTGAGTGCCGGGATAACAGGCAGGTGCCACCATGCCTGCCCATGACTGGCCTGAATTTAAAAATATAAAATATATAATAAATATGCATGTTTATACTGACCAAGTCGGAACAGGGAGTTGGTTCTCCATCATAAAATCATTCCCGCTTACCCTATGAGGACTTTTACCCCAGGTTTTAAAAAGTTCAATAAATTTCAACCAACATTTTTAATTTCACTGGGATCTCAGGGAGGCCCAGCCTCCACTGATTTGTGGCTTCCCTACCCTGGCAGTAATCCCCGGTCTGCGTGCTGTGCTTTTCCTATAGCCACTCTTCAGGGGCCAACACAGAATTCTGTGTTACACGTTCTGGTACGTGAGAGAGTGTCATGGTGGCACTGTGGTAACTTTTTTTTTTAAGACAGGGTCTTCTTATGTAGCTCAAGTTGGCCTTGAACTCACTATGTAACCTAGGCCACCCTTGAACTCCTGGTGATCCTCCTGCCTCAGCCTCTGAAGTGCTGGGATTACAGGCATGTGCCATTGTGCCCCGCCTCAGCCTCCAAAGTACTGGGATTACAGGGGTGTGCCACCATGCCCTGCTGTGGTAATATAATTTTGAAAACACTGAATATCCACACAAAAGAAAGTGTCACAGCTGTTTTCACTGAGGTTTATTTTATTTTATTTTTTTTGTTTTTGGTGTTGAAGATTAAACCCAGGGCTTCCAGCTTGCTAGGCAAGTGTTCTACTTACTGATGGGCTAAATCCCCAGCCCTTCCACAGTAGCTTTATTTTTTAAATTTGGTGCAGGGTCTGACTACAGAGCTTGGATTTGTAGTGATCTTCCTGTCTCAGCCTCCCCAGTGCTGGGATTACAGGAGTGTGTCACTATACCTGGTTTCAATGGCTGGCTCTGTGCGCCCAGGGTTCCCTTGGGCTGGTGCAGCATGTGGTACCAGGGATCAAACTTGGGTCCTTGTCAGCAAGGCGTATAGACTGCCAAGCTATCTCCCCAGTCCCACAGTAGTTTTAAAAATGAGATCTCTTCTCAGAATCTACTGACTGCTGTCCTGGCCAGAGGCATGACTGAGATGTCCTTTACCTGTAAGTTCCGTTCACAATCTGCTCCCTGCCTCACTCCAGTTCTTGTAACAGCATCTCCTGCTGGTCCTGACATCGTCTTCCTGTTTCTAGAAATCTCCTTTTAAACATTATTTTCAAGAAAATATTTTTATAGGTGAATACTCAGGCTAACCTAGTGGATATGATCTTGGAAGTTCCATGGTTGCCCTCTTAAAAAATCCAGGGGTTGTACACCACGAGCTCTGTAGTTGTCAGTGCTGTGCAGGCAAAGACACTCCCTACACCTGTGTGGGTGCACACTGCAAAAGGATGAAAGCTAGCCTGCTGCCTCAGCGAGCTAATGCTGTCCTGCCAGAGCACGTTAAGTGTGCTTCTGCACCCTCTCTGAAAGCCCTTCCATAGCTGTTGTGCACCGGGGGCGTGGGGGCCAAGGCCACCCAGGCAGGGTCGGGGAGGAGGCCCTGGGGGCTGAGGCTGGTGCCACCTGTGAGGGTCCATGGGCTCAGAGGCTTCCAGCATAAAGGAAGAGCTATTTGCTCTCACTGCAGGTGGCTGGTGATGCAGGACGAAGTAAGGGACAGACACACAGAACAAGCCCTGCCATTGTGGCACAGAACTGCGCTGGGCTGTCCTTGGAGGTAAGTGACAGCGTCCTGCTTTTTCGAGCCTGAAGCAACCAGATACTCTGGACTACAGGAGGTACCAGCCTTTATCCACACACCTGCATAATCCCTGACTTCCTGTGAGCTCTGCCAAATAGAAACTACATTCCCCAGCAAAGTCTCCACTCTCAACCTGATAGGCAAAACTAAAACTTTCAACCCAGACATTCCTTTGCTGCGTCCCATCTCTCCCCATACCAGCTACCCCCTCGTGTGGTGAGCAAGCGGCTTCACCGCGTCCTGCGTCTCACTCCACGGCAGGCCACGGCTCCCCAGGTGTGTGGCGCTGCAAGCTGCCACGCTGGAGCAGCCCCTTTGTTCTGCGTCTGTACTTCAGCTTGCTTCCCCGCTGCACCAAAGGCCCTAGAGGAGGCCCATGAACCCCGTGTTCAGGGCTCAGATTTGGGAGCATGGCACTCCTCGGGGGCCACTGGCGTAATAAAAGCCTGGTCTCCCCCCAACACACACACAGAGTCCTTTCCTTAAAAGCCTCCCAGTTGGGTTTCTGCTGGGGTAGGGAGAGGCTGCAGTTTCTTCTTCCTGTCCAGACCTCTCCTGCCAGGGTGGCGCCCCCTTCCGGCTCAGCAGGAGTGGGCCAGGGCACACTCTACTGGTCACCCGTCAGCTTTCACTTAACACAGTGTTTGGTAGGCCAGTACTGAGCTGGAAACAAGTCACAGCTCTACAAAGAAGAAAAAAGAGTTCAATTCCTACTGTGTACTTTTGATTTCATTTTTTATTGTGAAAATGAGAATCTACTTTTCACTTCACTTGGCTCTTCTGGCTTTAAAGGAAAGGCTATAAGCTCTATGTTTATTTGTATTAATTCATTGCTTACTTTTTTTTTTCTTTTGTTTTTGGCGGAACAGAGGATTGAACTCAGGCTCTTGCGCTTGCCAGGGAAGTGATTATTCTACTGAGCCATCTCCCCGGCCATTGCTTACTTTTGTACCATGAGTAAAATTTGAGGTGTTTTGCAACAAACAAAGAGATCTTTCTAAGAAATATCTTCAAAATAAGATATAAAGTTCCATTTATATAAATAAAAGTTCCATTTATATAAATTCCATTTATATATTAAAGTTCCATTTATATAAAGTTCCATTTATATAAATACATGAAACAAAGCAAAAATTAAAGTATTAAACCCAGCAGTGGTTTGTTTCTCTGGGGTGGCTAGTGGAACAGAGAGGAAGGGAGGATTTTCTTTTTCTATATTGGCATTTATTGTACAAGGAAGAAGTATTTATTAGTTGACTAAAACTACTGAAATACTTTAAAGAGCCAGGGGCAAAGGCACTCCTGTCATCCCAGCCACTAAGGAGGCTGAGGCAGGATGATAGTTTCAGCTTAGGCATCCAACTCGGGCAACCCAGCAGTATGCTGTCTCCATCTCCAAGATGCAAAAGAAAAAAAAGTAAGCAAGAAAGAATGTAGAAGGGGCCAGGGAAGATAGCTCAGTAGAATAAGTGCCTGCCTAGCAAGCACACAGTCCTGAGTTCAATCCCCAGTACCTCAAAAAAAAAAAAAAAAATGTACAAAGTCAGAAATAAGCTTTGAGAAGTAGAACAGATTTAACATCAAGGCTCCTCCTTCCCTTTGTCAGTAATGTTATCATGTGTACACTGTTAAAAACTAGGTGAACAAAATCACACCAAGGGAAGGCTGCATGTCTACTTTATTGCCATTAGAAAAATATCATCTGCATAAAATTCTGGTCCATTTTTTCACCCTTACCCCTATCATTCAAGTTTGAATAATTTGATTTTACTCAAACAAAAGCATAATCATATGTGTATCATGAAAACTAAATATTCCACCTTGCTAAGCTAACAGGATTTAACTGCCTTAGGTGTGCTCCGCACCATCTCCCAGGACTGGCTCCTCTTTCTGCAGCTCTTTCCCCTTCCTTCCTGTGATGGTGACAGTGACGGTGATGGCGATAGCACTGGCACCCCGTGCAGGGTGAGTGCATCTGAGCGGAAGCCCCCCAGCACCAATGGATTCATCACCTAGCCTCCCACTCATGTCAAATCTCCCTGAGGTGGAATTTCCTGAACATCGAGTAGTTTAGTCACACTTGCTCTTTCCAACATGGGTTATAAGAATTAAGACACAAAAACAAAAAAATGAAGAATTGAGCTATTGATCCAAAGCCAAGATGGAAATTCCCAGGGAGGAGACAGCGCTGTGCCGCTCAGAGTCACAGTGTTGCGAAAGGCCCTTTGATAGCCACTCCTTCGATCTCCACTCGGGCTCCCTGCAAGGAAAGGAGAGACCATGTTCCACAATTCTGAACCAGTTAAGAGAGCTCAGTAATACCTGCCTCAAACATGCAACTAACAGCAACATAATACTTTTCGCATTAGACTTCTCAAAGAAAAAAAAAAGGACTATTCACTAGGAAGCTACAACAGGCCAGGTTCCACGCCTGCCAAACTCATACAGGTTAGCTCAGTCGATGCTCATGGCAGCCCTCTTAGACCCAGCTGCTCCCAAGGCATAAAATCATGAGCCAAAGATGAAGCAGGCTGAGAAACCGGTCACAAATGTAAACAGGAGAGGGTTAAACCCACATCCTGGTGCCGAGTGACAGCCCATGTCTCTAACCCCAGCACGAGGGAGACTGAGCAGGAGGCTTGCAGCTAGTTTAAGGCCAGTCTAGGACCAACCTGAACTATGTAGCAAGACCTTGTCTGAAAAATCAAAGACACCTCCCCCCCAAAAAAACAACAAAAAATCCATGTCCAAGCTGAGAGCTCCTTTTTTTTTTTGATCTGTAAAATTAACATTTATTTAACACATTTAATGAGTTCAATGCTTGTTTTACTTCTGGTGGTACAAAGTTGACTAAATCACCTCTATCCTTTTTTTTTTCCTTTTAATGTATTTAGTACAGGGCCTCACTAAACAGCAGACTTGTAGTGATCCTTCTGTTTTCAGCCTCCCAAGTGCTGAGATTACAGGCATGCACCACCACACCCAGTCTCAATCGCTGTCTCTCCAACCCCCTGGGATGGAGCCAATATGGCTTGTGGTGCCCAGGTCAAACCCTGGTCCTTGCACTCTGCCTAAGCAGGTGCTTTAGTCCACTGAGCTATCTGGCCGGCCTGTTATCCCTATTCTTAAGAAATCCTTAATCTAGTGGAGCCAAAAGTATATAAATCCGATCCAATATATCACGTGAGAGCTCCTTTTACCAAACCCAACATTTTAGTAAGTTTGATGATAACAGTCACTGCACACAGCAACTACTGAATAAAAATGTCACTCTGGGAGATACATTTTCTTTAGTGGAAAACTACAAGCAGAATTCATTTAGGAGTAGCTTTGTGCCTGACCTCCACTTGGGCTGCTGTGTAGCTCACAGGCACAGGAAAGAGCTACTAGTAAGATCAGAAGGCCAAAACCAGGGCGGTGAGCAACACGTGTGCTCTGGCTAGGAGCGCATTGTTCAATTCCTTATAAACGACAACTAAGTGAGATTTTTATGCAGAATTGGAAAACCTGTCTCAAATTTATAGCCCTCTAAGTAACTTTAAAACAATACAGCTGTTCTAGTACTTTTTCTCACCTTTTTTTTTTTTTTTCCCTTTTGAGATAGGATCTCACTATACAATTCATTCTTTTTTTTTTTTTTTTGAGGAACTGGGGATTGAACTCAGGCTGTTTATTCTACTGAGCTATCTCCCCGGCCCCCACACTACAATTCAGAGTGGCCTTGTGCTCACTTTGTAGCCCAGGCTGGTCTCTATCTCTCAATGATTCTCTGGCTTCAGCCTCCCAAGCTGGGATTACAGGTGTGTGCCATCATGCCTGGCTACAAGATAGCTTTTTTGAGATAGGGTCTCACTATATTGTTCAGTGTGGCCGTGAGGTCACTACGTAGCCTAGATTGGCCTCAAGCGCATAGCGACCTCCCTACCTCAAGCCTCCCAAATGCTGAAATTATAGCTATGTGCCATCACACTGAGGAATTTCTCTCCCATTTAAATAATTTGATTTACAAGGTCTGTCTTTTAAAGGAAGGAAAGTTTATTTTGGCTAACAGTTTGTTTTTTCGAGACAGAGTCTCAATACGTAGTTCAGGCTGACCTTGAACTCATGGCAATCCTCCTGCTTTAGCCTCTCAAGTGTAGGGATTATAGGCATATGCCACCATGTCTGACTGGATAACAGTGTGTACAAATGAGGTTTCTTAATTTTTTTTCATGTATAAAATATTGAGATAAGGGGAGATGGTGAGATAGCTCAGTGGACTAAATG